TCAAATTGTTGAGACAGAATTACTGAATACAAAGAATTCGTCAGTGTGTAAAATCTGTATTGCGAAAATGCATTACATGCAGAAAACTCATCCCAGAAAATCACATCCCAGAAGCACCTCCCTTACCTAAAGACAGATTGAGAAAAGAACCCCCTTTTACTGTAACTGGTGTGGACTTCACTGGTGCCTTAAAGGTTCGAAAAAAGAAGGGGGGGGGGGCATGAGGGCAAAGTATACATATCTCTTTTCACATGTGCTAGTACAAGAGCTGTTCACCTGGAATTGGTAACAGACCTTACTGAGGAACAATTTATGTTAGCTTTTTAGAAGATTCTTCAGCAGGAAATCATTCCCAAAATTATGATATCTGACAGTGCAACCACCTATATTTCGATCCTCTAAGGAAATTGAAAAGTAAACATCTTCACATAGTGCACAAGAAACCTTAAACACCCAAGGTACAAGAAATTCATACCTAAAAGAGCACCCTGGTACGGAGGAGTCTGGGAACGACTGATAAGACTCACAAAGAACTGCCTAAGGAAAGTACTGGGACGATCCTTTGTGAATTTAGACACCCTGAACACAGTCATTGTAGAAATTGAATGCATTTTAAATGACCGTCCTCTGACATATGCATCAGCCGACCCACTGGACGAGGATCCGTTAACACCATCTCATTTACTATATGGTAGAAAAATCAAGTCATTACCTTATCCTTAGTACATGTTTCACACCTCGAACAAAGGGTTTTTACTGCTACCAAATCACTTGGTACACTCCAAGCCCAAGCTTCATGGTTGGAAGACTATGCCATTGTGTGCATAATTATTAAACTTATCATTATCAATGATAGGTTACAATCATGGACACAGGGCAAGGTCACTAAACAATGAAAGTTGGATCTGATGTGCTAAACAGTCAATAAAATCTACAGATTTAATAAAGGAAAAAAATCATTTTTCTTCCCTTGTCTTTCTTTCTGAATTAACCAACTTTAGGCAAAATTAAAACATTAAAATATTTAAATTTTAAAAAATCAAAATCATAATTAAGACAGAATTTTAAGAAAGGTTTAGTAATTGTTTTAATATATAGGATATACCCAGAATTTTATCTCATCAAAAAGTGCAAAAAAAAGTTTACTCACCATTTTGTCTTCGATTATAATTAACAAAATTGGATTTTTTTTACAATGTTCAAATACACAGAGACAGTCCTATATTGCTGAAATAGTGTGTAAACTTTCCCTGTAATTGTTGTAAGCCGAGACAATCCAACCGTATACAGATTTTTTTCCTTTTTTCTGTTTTCGTTTTCTGTGGAAATCTGTGCTTTTCAAAAACAATTTATCCATTTTACCTCTAAAAAGAAATCTTTACTAATGCCCACAAGACTCCATTAAAAATGACATGAACATCTTCATACAGAGATTTTGAATCTATAGAAATGAACCTTATTGTGTTTGAAAACTACTCACTGTAGACCGTCACCTGACCTGTTGCAGACAGGTAGATATACCCCCTGAGGGTATAATTATCGCATCTGAGCCTGTACAAAATGGCAACAGTCAGGATCAAATCATCGTTATATTGATTAAATAACAAGAAACACATAAAGATTTGTAATGAAATATATAGAGACAAAAAGGGTTTAATTTCTCGTGTGAAACATGTACTAAGTATGTTGTTAAGGACATTGGCAAGTCAGGGTTTTCCGGAGAAAAAAGGTTTAATACATGGGTTTTTTCGCTTATAAAATAGTGATTGAGAGTGATCTCCCGTGTAGAATTCTCTAAGCGGTGAAAACCAATAAAGCGTATGTCACAGAGGTAAACATAAGCACGTGTACCTCCTTCAACGGGTAGAATCATCTATACAGCAAGAAAGAAAAGCTGTAATGGCTTTGTTGTAAATTGTATTCAGGGACAAAGAGCCAACAGGTCATTATTTACCATAGTTATGCTCAGTTTGCTGGAAAGGGCAAAGATGTGACATATGCTGAAAGGTAGGTCGACCATGCCGACTGAGAACAGTTCTTAGGTCATGTGAAGGAATCGGCATTTAGTAACTACGAATAAAAGTTAAAAATAAATCCATGACAATATTTTTATGACAATGTGTTTCAATTCAGTCAATTACATGATAAAACAATCAACCAGTCTCTTGACCAATTTTAGCTGTTAAGGGACGCAACTCAAAAATAATGATCGGTGCCGGTATATCCATGTCTTGTTTCTAAATATACATTTTTAGCCAAAATATCTAGAAGTCATAGGAAATGAAGATACAATAATGTATATAATACAAAAGCTGTATGAAATAAATGGGTTTTGAAGAAATATTATGGTGAAAAATTATGTAGGTCCCTTTTATCAACATTTTACATAGGAAATGCATTAAGAATTGTGAAAACACTAATTTGACAAAAACTAAAAAAGAATGATGGATTGGTAGGTAAAACGATCCAGAATATAGCCTGTTTAGTACATTTAAACCTACTCAGAAGTTCTTGAAAAATTCTATACAATAACCAGGAACCTTGCCAATGTCCTTAAACTTTTCCCTAGCCATTCGATTTGGTCCCTCGCTTCGCTCGGCACCAAATCTCATGGTACTCGGGAAAAGTTTACCAACATATACTGGGAGTTTGGTTGATGAACATCTAATAACTGATTTGAACCACTTATCTGCAAACAAAGCTTATAATATTCAACAGCAAGTTTTTCAACACTTTTGGGAAAGTTGGAGAAAGGAGTATTTAACATCCTTGAGAGAATATCATCGCATCCAAGGGAAAAATAAAAACATTTAGGTGCGAGACAAAGTTCAAATTTATGATGAAAACCCTTGAATTATTTGGAAACTGGCAAAAATTGAGAAACTTATTCCAGGCCAAGATGGACTTACAAGACCTGTTATATTAAAGACCAAAACGGTGTGACTTCCCGACCAATCTCAAAACTTTATCCATTAGAACTGAATTCTGGAGATGAGAATGAACATTCCATACCTTTAAAAGATCGCAAGATCAAACTCAGAGCGATGGAACAAATCCGAACATGCGCTAAGTGAAATAATGTTATTTTCATGTGACATTGTAAATAACTTTTTTAAAGAATATTTTGCATTTTTCATTTAAAACCGTCTTTTATTTCTTTGTCCAATGACTTACTCAATTCGTACTTTTGTGGGCCGGAGCTCGAGAATGTTGTGAAATATGGAGAATTTTTTGGACCGGAGAATGTTGTGAAATATGGACATTAGTACATGTACCTTTCTTATTTACCTTGATTTATCATGATTATGTAAATGACATTTACTGAATTATGACGCATAAAGGTGTGACTTCATAAAGATTACTACGACGTTATGTAGATAACAGTTTTGAGTTTCAATAAACAACTATACGATACAGAGGTGTTTTACTTTAGCTACATTCCTAACACTACGTCACCAGTGGATTTTGACCTTGCCCTTCGAAAACTTCCTGTATCGGAATTAGGCAAATTCGGGTCCTGACATTTCAAATAACAAGTCTTTCCATTAATTAATATAGCAAAATACCAAAGATTAGGTACTACAATAGGACACACTCAAACTGCACAACATGTTTGGAATACATCTTATAATTTTTAAAATTTATTACATGTATGTCTATTTGTATCTATCGATCGAACCTAGGTTGAAGGGCAATGTATTTATATATTTTGAGATTCGCTGCAAAAAGTGGTGACAATAGCTTAATGGGACAGGTCATAAAAGTTTCAATTATATAAAAATTGCTATGAAATGTATATATTTGCTGTTTTAATTACACATTAATCAAGTTTCAATTATAAACAATTTCCCCTAAAACTCCTTCCTAAGCAAAACTTCTTCATTTAAATCTTTAATTTCAGAGCGGTAATAAAGTTATCTTTTGAAATGCATGTACTACACTGTAACATAAGAGGGCCATTGGGTCACATGCTTACCTGTGCAGTATACTACCGTAGCTGAATCGCTTCCTAGGTACAAAAATAGTACTTTGGAGACAAACATCTACGTGTGAGTATAATTGTCTTATTACAGCATCTAACTCTAGTTTGATCTCTTGAAACTCATTTTTTCCATCACAAGGGGACTGTATATTTCCGACTTCTCTCTGACTGGGGATTGACGTGAAAAAAACTATTATTATACCTTTTGTAAATAATGACTAGTAAAATAGAATCTGATTGGCCAAGACAGTCACGTGACCGTCGTGTTTTCCCTGCAACAAAACTTCGTGTTTCACGATTGTGACGTCACAAAGAGTACTACAGAGTTAGATCGTTTATATCGTTGATTGATTGTGTCAATTTAATTAAACGTTTTAAATATAAATATTTAGAAAAGTGTTTTCATGGGTTGGGTTTAAATGCTACTAGTGTGTAAATCACACTGACTTGTCACGAAAGTTTTTTTTAAATGAAGCGCGGCTAGTGGTGTAACTTACACCTGTTTCATATTGTTCTTATCAAATGTTTACTTTATTCATTGGATCTTCATTATATTCTGCATTGTGTTTGATTCGGTATAATAAACAATTTATTGCATGAATGTTCGGGAGACATGAAGATATTTTCGCCCATGAAAAATCATATTCCCCGAGGGCGTTGCCCTCGGGGAATATGATTTTTCATGGGCGAAGAAATCTTCATGTCTCCCTCACTATCATGCAATAAATGTATATTGTTCGATGGTGGTGTCCGTATTTACTTTGACTTTTTCATGTCTGCTATATATGAACTTAAATTCAGATCTGTTGATCAACGCTGTGATAATGTTCGAAATTTGCATACTTTTCATCATATTTTGATATTTGCTTCTCTTTTCTATCAGTATAAGTCATCAAAATGATAAACATTGGTATATTTCAAATTTCTTAACTTAGAATATTAGCCCTCAGAAAATTTCCTCTTGATTATACATGGCAGCTCAGTTGAGAACTGTCAATATCGATTGCAATAATCCTACCTTCATAAAAAACTTGTTCCATTCATTTGAAATCATATTGGAACTGTATGTGTCGTCACTTAGGAAGTTATTCTCCAAAGAAGTCTTCATTGCAGATTTCACAGTGGCTTTGTCCTACAATTAACGTGCTAACCATGTAAACATAATATTATATACATAAATATATGAAAGAATGGTTGCGAATAACTGAAAGGGATATTATATTTAATTTTGCAAAGGTATCAAGTTATCGGTGTATAGTAAACTTAGTTTTTCCCTGACAAAATAATTCAGAACTTGATATATTTTGCGTCTACTAACATTTAGTATCGACAACTTCATGTAAACTGTGAGTATATTTTGATCAGAATTTGGGCAATACAGTGTTTTTATTTAATTATTTTACCTCATTTAAATCCGGATTTCTGTAGACTGATAACAAAATAAGGCAAACAAATGTTGGTATACCTGCTACTATAGAGGATACCATCATCTGGGAAAAAAGAATAAGAAAACTATTCCAGGAATGATTAAAATCACTTGTAACACTAGTTACATGCACACTTCCAAAATGATTTTAAAAAGAGGAATATGTCTGTTAAAAAAGTTGCATGTAACAAGCATATTCAGATTTCTTTCAAATGCTTAATTTAAATTAAATTTTAAATACAATATATACATATTAACTGAATATTTTCTTCTTTATTTCAAGTGAAAATTGTAAAATGAGGCAATTTTTAACATAGAATGATTTAAAGCAATAGCAATGCCTTTGTGTCATAAATCAAAACTAAAGCAACGACACGTTTGTGCCGCTGTCCGGTATCTACTTGGAGTGGATTTTAGGTCACCTAGTCAATAGTGATAGGAGGCAGGGCTATCGACCAGCGTCATCTCTCAAGTCGAATTTGTATATGTATCGATTTACAATAAATACAGATATATGTCAATATGAAATTAAAAGATTTTCTTTGTAAAAATTGTAAGGACATAAAATATTATAACAATTTGCTCAATTTTGCAAATGGTAGGCCTACCAAATACGCTCTAAAACCTGAATTAGATCGAGGTCATGTTTTAAAATAATTGTGTTCACAAGTACACACGCAGCTGGATACATGCCTCTAATTATTAAGAATCGGTAAGGGGAGAGAATAATGCACTAAAACGAAATACATGTAGTTCCTGAACTTGCAAGGGAATGTAAGTAGGTCACCCAAACTAAATTAAGATGCTTCATATATACGTAAGAAGAGAAAATTGCGCTTTGAAAACCATTTCCAGTTCAACGGTTTATTTGAAAGGAAAGAAATTGAGTTGGTTGATATGTATTTACCCTGAAATTTTTATTTTAATTTTTGCGAACATTTGCATTTTGGCGGAAAACGAACCTCGAGATTTTAACCAACATGACCAGTGAGAGGATTGTTGACGGGCTTTCATTTGAAGGTGCCTCACTATTCAAAGAAAATTAATGACGACGTTATATGAGAAAACGTCAACATAGTTGCCTATGGAAAATACTATATGGACGAAATTAATTTTGAAGCATCCTCATATCGTGCGTTACACTGTGAAGACGAGGCTTTTATGAGGTCCTTATAAAATCTTATAAAATCCTTTGAAAAACACCATTTGTACTTGAATTATATGAAAACACACCCATATCGTGTTAATACATGTATAGAGTTGATTTAAATTTGCTTTTTATATCCAGATTTTCGGCGCGATTACAGTTGAGCCTAAAAGTACATAAACATGCTATATAGGAAAATTTTCTTTTAACAAGAAGGGTTAACGATCAAAAGGCGTAAAAAATACATAGGAATTATAATATATAGAAAAAAAAAACACTTCCCAAAACAATGATACATTTTAACGCTAGACCGCTCGACTATGTAGCCAAGTCAAAAAACCTTGTTTTCGATTCCGATGGAATTCTCGTGGTACCGTATACTCTAGGTCAAAAAGAATAGAAGTGAGATACAGCTACATGTACAGTGTATTTGGACATAAGTTTTAATTGAGGATCGTTACCGATACATAATGCAATGAAATTAAATTTATTTAAACCACATTTAATTAACAATGACTCTTAAACTAATATAGCTGCGCTAACTGGAGAAATAACAAGAAGCCCATGGGCCACAACGCTCACCTGAGTAGCTTTAGCCCTGCCCTCATTGTGGCCCAACCTATCCCCGGGGGCCATGATTTGAACAAATTAAAATCTACCATACCTCAGAGAGCTTCCATATAAGTTTCAGCTTTTCTGGTCCTAAGGTTCTTGAGATGAAGATTTTTAAATATTTTTCCTGTATGTTTAAATGAAAAACTTGAATTCCCTATTATGGCTCCATCCTACCCCCGGGGCCATGATTTGAACAATTTAGAATCTATACTACCCCAGGATGCTTCCACATAAGTTTCAATTTTTCTGGCCCAGTGGTTCTCTAGAAGAATATTTTTAAAGATCTTTCGTATATGTTTCAATGTAAAACTTGGATTCTCTATTGTGGCCCCACTCTATACAAGCCCAAGGGACCATGATTTGTACAATTTAGAATCTACCATACCTCAGAAACCTTCCATATAAGTTTCAGCTTTTCTGGTCATAAGGTTCTTGAGAAGGAGACTTTTACATATTTTTCCTGTGTGTTTAAATGTCAAACTTGAATTCCCTATTTTGGCCCCATCCTACCCCCGGGGCCATGATTCAAACAATTAAGAATCGACACTAAATCTGGATGCTTATAATTTTCACCTTGCTTGGCCCAGTGGTTCATGAGAAAATTTTTAAATGGCCCCTGCCTATATTGTCTTTTCTTGATTATCTCCCTTGGAAGGAAGCTTGGTCCTTCATTTTAATAAAATGTATTTCCCTTCATCCAAGAATTCTTTGTACCAATTTTGGTTAAAATTGGCCCAGTGGTTCTTGAGGAGAAGATGAAAATGTGAAAAGTTTACAGACGGACGGACAGACAGACAGACGACGGACAACAGAAGATCAGTAAAGCTCACTTGAGCTTTAAACCTCAGGCGAGCTAGCAAGAGGCCCAATTGCCACTTCACTCACCTTAGCACATTAGCTTGGAAGAAGCACAAATCAGTTCAGTATTGAGAAGTTTACGGGGGGGGGATTTGAATTAAAAACCTTTCTATATCAATATAACAAATGGTTTTGTTGTTCTTCAGCAGAAAATTTTAAAAGATTTTCCCCACATATTCCTTTGTAAAAACTTGATCCGCAATTGTGCCCCCCCCCCCTAACCCTAGGGGATCATGATTTGAACAAACTTGAATCTACAATACCTGATGATGCTTCCATATACATGTAAATATGACTAATAATGGTTTTCTGTTCTTGAGAAGATTTTTTCCTATGTATTTCTATGTAAAACTTTGATACCCCATTGTGGTTCCTCCCCACCTCCAAGGGGTCATGATTTGAACAAACTTGAATCTACACTACCTGAGAATGCTCCCATATCAATATGACTAAACAAAACTTTGCTGTTCTTTAGAAAAAGATTTTTTTCCTATATATATTATGTAAAATTTTGATCTCCCATTGTGGCCCCCTAGGTACCCCGGGGGTCAGCATTTCAACAAATTTGAATCTCTACTACCTGAGAATGCTTCCATATCAATATGACTAAAATGGCTGTGCTGTTCTTGAGAAGAAGATTTTTCCCTATATATATTTATGTAAAACTTTGATCCCCGATTACGACCCCTCCCTACCCTCGGGGGTCATGATTTAAACAAACTTGAATCTACACTACCTGAGGATGCTTTCATATCAATATGACTAAACAGGACGTTTTTGTTCTTGAGAATAAGATTTTTAAGGATTTTTTCCTATAAATTCCTATGTATAACTTTGATCCCGCATTGTGACCCCATCCTTACCCCTGGGATCATGATTTGAACAAATGTGAATCTACACTATGTAAAAAAGAATTCCTATAAGTTTTAACTTTTTTGCCCCAACGGTTTTTGAGAAGAAGATTTTTAAAACATGCCACCAAATTTTCATTATTTCTCAATTATCTCCCCTTGAATGAGGGCAAGGCCCTTCATTTGGACAAACTTGAATCCCCTTTACCCAAGAATGCTTTTTGGTAAGTTTGGTTGAAATTGGCTCAGTGCTTCTGGAAGAGAAGTCGAAAATGTTATAAGATTACAGACAGACAGACGGACGGACTACAGACAAGATGTGATCAGAGCTCACATGAGCTTTCAGCTCAGGTGAGCAGATAATGTACAAAAGACAGAGAAATTCCCTTTATAAGGATACTTACATTATAATTATAGTAAGATCGTTAACCCTAGTATTGTACAAAAGCTATCGTGCTAAGCAATAAATGTGCAAAATATAAATCCATATAATTCCTAAAATATTAGGTGTGACAAATGAATAGACAGACACACAGACACGTGCCGGGTAAATACATGAAATCAATATATGTATGTGTCGCTCGGTTCTTTAGGCGGCACGAAAACTAGGCGTCCTTATGAGTTATCCAAATACGTGCATTTAAATCATTTAGTTTAAGAAATTAAAAAATTCAAATCAGATGTGTTTGCTGGAGTCTTTTAATTTCAAGATAGGTATTCTTAGTCTATTTCCATGCACTCCTTTCTCAAACACTACCATAAAATTGACTATTACAAAGAAAAAGCATTTTATTCACTAAATTTAACTAAAAGCTAGAAAAGGACACGATTAGGTATTATTATATGATTGAATAATTCCTATCTCTCTGATTGGCTGAGAACCAAAAATGTAGAAAAAATACTACATCATGTTCACCTGCATTTATTGTACATTAGACGAAAAACAGATTTGGAAATTCCAAAGTTATACAAGTTTTGGAAAGTTATTTCACTTGTACTTGACTTCCACTCAGGTGAACATATAAAATCTGAGGTGAGGGGTCAATGTGGAGGGAGGGGTTCGAGGGACTTGTCCAACCTTTCCACACTTTTTTCTGAACGTAAATTTTTAATGTAGTGTTAAATATCCATTGAGAGGCTGTCCCCGGTTAATGGACCTTAACAACCTAACTCCTCCCCCCAAATAATAAAAAAATGTTGTTTGTTTATTGTTTAAAGTCCTTCTCGAGAATTTTTCACTCATACGGAGACGCCAACACTTGACGCGGAGGAGAGCTGCAAATTTTGACCTAAACTCGATCGGCACTTAGGGCCATTGTTTGTTTGTTTGTATGTTGTTTAACGTCCCTCTCGAGAATTTTTCACTCATATAGAGACACCACCACTTGCCGTGGAGAACTGCAAATTTTGTCCTATACTCGGCACTTACGGCCATTGAGCAGTGAGGGATCTTTTTCGTGCCAGCACCTACTGCGACACGGGACCTCGGTTTATACGGTCTCATCCGAAGGACCGGTCTCCACGTCCCACAACGGGATTCGAAGGATCAACTCCTTACTCCGCGATTCTAGAGCAGACGCTCCAACCACTGCGCCACACGAGCGACATAAAAAATAATTAAAATTTGGAATGGGAGAATTCTCCTGTTTTTTTTGTTTTTTGGAGGGGGGGGGGGGGGCTAGTCGAAGATATAATTTAGGTAAGTTGTCATTTTTTTTAATTATAATATCCCGCCCCCTTTTTAAAAACTCGATCATATATATATATATATATATATATATATATATATATATATATATATATATATATATATATATATATATATATATATACGTGCCTGACATTTATTATTTTAACTACATTGCACCATTCAATTGCAAAGATTTCAGAATTACAAATTGATATAACAGGTCATGTTTATTTTAGCCCAGTTTCTCTCATTGCATTTGGCTAGGATTTAAGCTAATGCAAAACATTTAAGATGGCATGGATTGCTTAATGAGTTTGCATCATTTATTCGTAATGAATCATATAAGGAAATAATTACTGCTGTTTTTTTTTATTCAATACTATGATTCAGGCACATTCATCTCGTTCTTCGGGCTCGCTGAACATTGTTTTCCTCAGGTGGCCAAATCATCGGATTGACCTCAAAAACAGGAGGCCCCGGGGCCACATAGCTCACCTGAGCACTTTTGCTAGGATAAAGCAGAAATCAGTTCAGTCTTGAAAAGTTTAAATATAAAAATGGGGGGTGGGTGGGTGGGTTATGATTTTGAAGACTTGAATCTACACTACCTGAGACTGCTTCTATTTAAATATGACTAATCATGGCTTTGCAGTTCTTGAGAAGAAGATTTTTAAAGATTTTTCCTATGTATTCCTATTTAAAACTTTGATCGCCCATTGTGGCCCCACCCTATCCCCGGGGATCATGATTTGAACAAACTTGAATCTACACTACCTGAGGATATAGATATGACCAAGCATGCCTTTACTGTTCTTGAGAAGATTTTTAAAGATTTTTCCAATGTAAAACAATGATCACCCATTGTGGCCTCACCCTACCCCCGGGGGTCATGATTTGAACAAACTACACTACACTACCCCACAATGATTCCACATAAGTTCATATTTTCAAACACAGTGGATCTTGATAAGAAAATTTTTAAATAATGCCATTAATTTTTCACGAATTCATAATTATTTGCCCTTGGAAGAACGCAGGACCCTTCATTTGAACAAATGTAAATCTCCTTTACCCAAGGATACTTTGTGGCAAGTTTGGTTGAAATTGGCCCAATGGTTCTTGAGAAGAAGATGAAAATAAGAAAAGTTTACGACAACGCCAACTACGACGACGACAACAACGACAGACAACGGACAAATTTCGATCAGAAAAGCTCACTTGAGCCTTTGGCTCAGATGAGCTAATAAGTGTATAATATTTGAATAATTGTAATTGGAAATTTATTCCTGTCAAGTTTTATTTTTTAAAATATGAATGAATCGATTAATAGATTGGTTTATTATAAAAGAAATGAGACTAAGTAAAAGTATTCAAGGATATATTGGGTCATATTTTTTTTGTTTTTGTGTAGTTTTAGCTTCACGTGCAATACAATAATTTATACGTTTAACAAATGCACAATATTTTATGATCACATATTTTCTATAATTTCAATTGAAAAATATTAAATGAAAAATGAGTTGATTTCTAAAAATTAGGGGGAAAAAAGACATTTTGAAATGTCAACTGGGATACCTGTATATACATGTATTTGAACAATAATTACATTTATTTAAAATGGTATAGTGCAGTTAGAAAGAGGACTTACTGTTTTATTGAAATCTTTCTTCTTTTTCTCTTTCTCTTCAGGGTGAGATGGAACACGTATTTGAAAAAACCAAAGAACGAACAAAATCAACTGAATAATAATGTTCAATGCATTGAATGCAATAATAACTCCTGCACAAACGTTCTGCATCAAGATTCCATCACTAAAAGACCCAAATGAGGAAATGCCGATGTTTTTCATGGACGTATCAATGTCATCTGTGGTAGAATATCCTTCATAAAGTAATGCCGCACAGGCGATAACGAGCGCCGCATAATTCAGCTAAAGAACCGAAAATATTAAGTATATATATATATATATATATATATATATATATATATATATATATATATATATATATATATATATATATATATATATATATATATATATATATATATATATATATATATATATATATATATATATATATATATATATATATATATATATATATATATATATATATATATATATATATATATATATATATATATATATATATATATATATATATATATATATATATATATATATATATATATATATATTAATTAGGGATGTCAATTTTATTCGGACAGCTTAGTCAAATAGTCGTCGGCTTTAGTCGAATGATAGTCGAATAGTTCGTTCCTTCTGTTTATTTATTCTTTATGAATAGTTGCATAACGTCAGATCTTATGGGATTGCAGGTTGAAACTCTATAATTTGAATTAATCTACAAAACCAACAAATTCTTGAACGTCCTCTCCATTTACAACAATAAGAGGTAAATAATTCTTGATAATCATGTTTGTGATAGCAACAATTTTCTTTCCGGCTCTGCTTTTTTGGCATTTTTGCTTACTTAAGAAAAGTTTCACTTAAAGACTGTGTTTACTATATGACCTGTATGTTTGACGCATTTGGCATATGATATATCATATTTGATCATGTTCCACTTCAGAATACAAGTTCAGTTTCACATAACCTTGATAACGTACTTTTAACTGTTTTTCCATCCTGACGTTTTTTAAAGTGTATCAAAATTGTAGATTTTGGAAGCGTATTTGCCGAAAATAAATCGACATATAAATAATTTCCTTTAAACAGTTAAACCATACCCCGAATTTTACTTACGAGAACATTGATCTGTACATGTATATAAATGAAAATTATAACATAAAATGGGCAAATCCAAGTTTATTACCTTGAATTATTTTTTTTTAGGTAACACATTTTTAACGAATAACCGACTAAAGAAATTTTAGTCCAGTACTCGGTATGATCGAACGATAGTCGAGTACTCGAATATTCGTTGATATCCCTAATATATATATATATATATATATATATATATATATATATATATATATATATATATATATATATATATATATATATATAGTTTATGTTACCGTTTCTCCTGTTTGAAGCAGAAAAAGGAGGGTTTTTAAAATTTCATGTATCTTCTTTTCATTCTGAAACGTAAATTGTAATAAAATAAAATTTAAATAAAGATCTAATTGATGCATATGATAGGTACAATTTCGGTGGGGGGTACTGAATCCATAAAACATGAAACATTAATAACTGAAATGAATATTCTTATTGATGATAAATTTTTTTAGAATTATACCTGTATATTAATATACAAGTCGTACCTTATCACTTTGAGATTGCCCATTTGTCATTTTTCGCTTTTGGAGTAACTGTATTGATCTGCTGTATTTTCTCAACTTTTTTTGTAAGGAAAATTCTTTTTTAAGTGTTTGATGAATTTAGAAGTCTTATTCCGGTTGTCTGAAAAGAAACCACATAGTATAATGTAATTATTTTTTGCTACATGTTTAACATAAAGAACACAGTAATACGGTATACGAACCATTATTTGCTGCATATTTCAGCTTCAGGATAAAAAAAGCATCATTTTAGATGATTAGCATAAGTATTATCAAGAAACATCAAACAAATTATAAGCAAAATTGCACATTTCTTATGAAGTAGATTTCCATTATTGCAAAAGAATACATGTATACATGGTATATCTTACATGTAGCACATTTCTCTTTTCTGCTTGAACTTTCAGACTTTCAGTGAGGCATTACATTCTCGGCTACACATAAATAGCGTCTCTCAAATAGTTACCTAGATTCTCATTGGTTGCCAGATTAGCTCATCAATACTAAAATTTACACAGCTTTGATTCACGGGTGATATACACATGGGATAAAAATGGGTCAGACGCGTCAACGAGTGACGCAAAGAACCAATTACATCGTTTCTTACAATAAAGACGTGTGGTTTATGTCATCAGATCGTTTTTTAACAACAATCTAAAGTTGCTAAAGTTATTAATTTCTTAACCAATGAGAATGTAGGTCACCATTTGAGAGACGCTCATTATGTATCGCCGAGAATGTCACGCCTTACTGAAAGTTGAAGCAGAAAAGAGAATTGAACTATTCAGGACCAAGTTGAATAACTTGCCCTTCTTTGACTAGGCACATGTATACCGCTGAAATCAATAAGAATTCAAACAGCGTATCAAATAATAACAAGATAATATATCGTTGCGAAGCATAAACTCGGCCGATAACATATCACGTGACGTTGTCATGATACCTTGGATAACGTAATGATGTCGATGATTTATGCAAATGATGGACTTCCTAATAAACGCATGATCAATGAGAAGTGAAAAAAAAAACATCGTTGTGTCATATCAAATGTAGTTAACCTAAAACAAAGTTTGGTATCAATTCTAAGTTCTGTAATCATCCGGAAAGTCGTATCGGGTAGCTTTTTTTCAATACACATATCGACTCTGGGTAGCACTTCTTGTGTGAAATTTTTTTAAAAGTATATAAGATTCTGATTTCTTCTCCTAATTGGGTGCGTCAGTCTCAAATGAGATGATAAGCTTACCATGTGATTCATAGATAAAGCAAACGTGATTCAGCAAAATTTTTACGCTCTTGGATTTTTTTTATTAATTATCTGTGTTTTAGTTTAGTGCAGTAGTTTTAGTTTAGATAATTTGTGTGAACTTTTTTATTGGACTTATTTTAGTGGTTTCAAGACGGAGAAGCGCAAGGCGCAGGATAAACCCCAGTCTGAATTAACAAGTAAAAAGCAGGCACATGACTGTAGTGTGTCCGATTCCGAGTCGGATGCGGACAATACGAAAGACGAATTTGAGGAACTTCTATCCGAAGTGATGGAAGAAAAAGAAAGTGATCCCGACGATCTCTTAGAAGAGCCGGCAGAATGTTTTGGTTCTGACGACAAATGTAGTGAATCAATTTATGAGAAATTAGCGAAAGTCGCGAATGAAGGCATGCGGACATAGTTTAACAATGACAAAATAAAGGAGATCAGTGAAAAATACAGCAGACCGAAAAACGTTGCAAATCTGGTCACGCCTAAAGTAAACGGCAAAATCTGGGCACATCTGAACAGAAAAGTCAGAACACATGACGTCCGATTTCAAAAAACTCAGGCACTGGTGTGCAAGGCTTTTGTACCACAACTCCAACAGTTAGATTCACTGCTCAAGTCAAAAAAGAAGGGGGGGGGGTGTGAAGCAGCTCCGATTGGTGAGGATCGAAACTGGCGATGGACAGCCTCAAATTAGTGACTTTTGAGTTGCGACCTTTCATACCGGCGCAGAGAGCTAATAGTTCAGCCGGACTAAAAAGAGGAGTTCAAGGCTTTGTGCTCCAATGATCATCCGGTGACTGACAACGTGTTCGGTGATGACCTCGGAAAAGTTGTTGAGGATATCGTTAAAGGCAATAAAGTGGGGTCCAAGATATCTGGAACGTTTCCTAAGGATAGAAAATCTTATAACAGGAAACCTTTCGGCCATGGATACAAGTCAAATTACACTCAGTATGGAGGGTCGGGGAAACTGTCCCATTTTTTAGGCCATAGATCCACGCCTCACTTTCGGAAAAAGGTTCCAAGCACTCAATACAAACAGCGGAAATGAAAACTAAAAACAAAGTGAGTAAACTTGATATGATTTTATGAACACAAATGATAGTTTCCAATCCATCATTTTAAAATGGAGACACTAAAAGCCGCAATAAAGATTGCTTCATGGCCTCAATAGATCTACAAGATGCGTATTATTCCTGTAGGATCAAGTAATAATGACAGAAAATGTTTACGATTTTTGTGGAACGGACAAAAATATAAGTATACATGTTTGGCAATGGGATTAGCGTCAGCGCCCAGAATATTTATTTTTCAACTTTACGGAAACAAAGTTTTTCAAATGTTGCATACATAGATGACACATTACTTATGAGTGATTCTAAGGCTGAATGTGTAAAAAATGTTAAAACCATCGCCATATTACTAGACAAACTCGGTTTAACAGTGAATGTAGACAAGTTAGTCTTTATTCTTACACAAACAGAGTTCTTCGGAATTGTCATCAATTCGAAAACAATGACTGTTTCTTTAAAGGAGGCAAAATCTATACAAGACACTTGCAAGAAAATACTTGCCTCGCAAAGTCTGACAATTAGGCAATTGGCGCAACCGGAAGGGAAACTCGTGGCAAGTGAACAAGTCGTCCAATTCGCGCCTGTATTACAAGTCATTAGAAATAGAGAAAGACAGACTTCTAAAACAAAACGTTGGGAACTACGAATCTCGTATTTCACTTTCGCCAGATGCCCTAATTACCCTACAATATGGTGGATTAATAATGTGAATAATTAATTGTGTATCCTCGAAAAATAATGCGAGGTAACCCTCTCATTACGATAAAAAATGACAGCTCGGGGAATGGCTGGGACGCTATCAATGAAAACAGCGGGGAGTGCATTCAGGGGTTGTGGAATGACCACGATAAAGAAGCTCATATAAATTTCCTGGAACTGAAAGCAGGTTTTATCGCTTTGACGCATGTGCAAATACTTGAAAACTATATTTAGATAACACCGTCGCTATTACGTACATCAACAAAATGGGGGGAAAATTGAAACCCAAAATGAATTAACAAAACAATTTTGTATAAAAAGAAACATATGGGTAACGGCATGCCATATAGCGGGTGTAAATAATGTAGAAGCTGATTACGAAGCTTTAATCCTGATATAGAATGGATGCTTGATCCTAGCAGATATTTTTGACGAAGTTACAAAATTTTACGGGACTTGTGACATAGATTTATTTGCATCCCGATACAATAAACAAATTTCGACATATGCGTCATATACCCCTGATAAACATGCAATAGCGATAGACGCTTTTACAATTCCATGGAGTGAATTAAAATGCTATATTTTCTGCCCTTTCTGTATTCTCAGCAGGGTACTTCAGAAGATAATGATAGAGAATGTTGAAGCAGTCATCGTGGTGCCGATTTGGCCAACGCAACCCTGGTTTCCCCAGTTACTACAGCTAGCAGTGGCGAGCAGCTATCTATTGCCGAACAACCAACAACTTCTGAAGTTACCGAACAATCCAGACAAAGTACATCCAATACCCAAAATGAGACTGGGTGTTTTTCGTGTGACCGGTAATCGCTCCAAAACCGAGGCATATCGGAGGACTCTATCGACATACTCCTCTCTTGGAGGGAATCCACAAAGAAACAATATTGGACGTATCACCAAAAATGGGTGTCATTTTGTCAGCAAAGAAAAATTGATAGTTTTGACGCAAATGTAAATAATGTTTTGGCGTTTTTGACAAAATTGTATAAATCAGGTTTAGGTTACAGCGGGTTGAATACCGCCAGGAGTGCGTTATCTTCGTTTTTACAATTAACAAACTCTGTAAATATTTGCTCACATCATTTAGTTTGTAGATTTTTAAGAGGTGTTTTTTATAATGAGAACTGCTTTACCTAAATATAGTGTTACATGGAATGTAGATATTGTGTTGGATTATTTGCAATCGCTAGAACCGTTAAAAGAATTGACCTTGTTACATGTATGATCCCTCTGCACCCCAATTGGTCGAAGAAATTCCAGTCAAACTTCACCTTCCAGGTAAGTCTCGTTTAACTTAAGAATTAAAAATGACAAAAAATGAAAAGCATTGATATGAATAAATTTAAGTAAATACTTAAAATTTTTATTGTAATAAATAAGTGTCCTCCTTGAATGTTCAAGTCTGAAATATTGTATAGTGATGTATTATTATGGTCATTTTATTTCATTTCTTAAGAGGGGCAGAGATTGACGTATCAAAATCTAACAATTAAAATTCCGGCCTTGCGGTGCGTCACTCTGCCTCTTCTCCCACCTACAGCCTTGGAGGACGGACGTTTTTTCAAGTTTGTTATTTACACGCGATAAACTGTTTTAGAGACCTTTTATTCATTGAAGGTGGATAAGATAAGGTGTTCTTGTGACGAGATGATTATGGAAAGAAATAAGCAATTTAATGGGTAACTGCGCTATCAAAATACTTATTGCATTAATATAAATAATAAATACATACTTTTACACACTTTTAAAAAATTTTCATACATACATGTAATGCGTGCTATCAAAAAAAGAATAGTTCTCTCGAAACGATAATAAACTAGTGCACTGCGCAAGTTTTCGAGATTATCTCCCTAGGTGCGCTCTTTCGTTACAGAGGAGAGTTTTGTTTCCGCGTAAGCTAGCTGCAATAATGTAGCCCTCTCCGATTTTTTTATCTTATATTTTCTGGAGAGGGCTACAATTCCACAGCATCTCTGTAATGGTGCAAATATATTTTAAATACGGGCGACTGCAGGCAATATAAATTGTTTTTACATTCAACTTACTTCTA